CTTCGGCAGAAGTAGCCCCTTCTCGGCGAAGGCGGCCAGCACCGCCTCATCTACATTGGATGGCCCGTAGTTCAACATCACGCTCCGGACTCATGAACGGATTTGTGAGTTCTCCTCTCCCGCGCTTTACCCTCTTTCTCCTAGGAACCGTCGCGGCACACGAACGCGCTTGGCAAGAAGGAAGAAGGAGGAGAGGCGGCAAATGGAGAAAGGCAAAGGAATGGGACGAAAACCCTCTCCCTTCTGCTATTTAATGCGAATAGGCATGCGGTGGGACACATCCTGACTGATGGGACACACCCTGCCCAACGAAACGTCACCCGGTTAAAGCGAGATGTGGCCTAGGTTGGGCCCACCACTACCACAACCTAGGCGTAGGAAACAAGGCGCAACCACATGTAAACGACCCTTCGCCTTCCCAGGTAGGGTTTGGAAGGGCCCACCGATAGGATCTCCGTCGAGGAAAGACCAACGGGCCACCTAAGTCAATCGGACGGCTCGGTGGCCGAGAGATAGGTAAGAAGCGGTGGGATGCCCCATGTGGGCTACACCGACTCAAAATCATGAATAATGGACATGGATCTCATTCGGACATATCCGATAAGAGCTCCTCAAACCCATCACTTGAGTCATCAAGGTAACTTTACCAAGCCTTCTTACTTTGTTTTTACGATGCATGATCATTCATTCATCCTTTCTCATACACATATTCACACATTCATTCATACAATCATTCATTCATCCCATACATCCAAAGCATCGCATATGCAATTAATGCATCCTGGCGCTTCATGTTGCCTCACGAGGCGGTAGTTGCCTCATTCAACATGAGCAATGATCGACCCGAGGGTTTGAAGGCGACTGTGAAGGGCTCGAGGCCGCCTCATGTCAAATAGAGCCAGGGGAGAAAACGCAGATGAGCCCCAGCGGCCCTCGCCCGATATGCTCAGAAGCAGACAGGGTCATCTTGACCTTCTTGTTCGATCCTAACCTCGAGCCATGCCCACAGAATCTCCATTGAGGGGAGGCCAGCGGGCCACCTGAGTCGGTTTCTGGAACGACCCGGGCATCTGCCGGGACGCGGGTTAAGGAGCAGTGGAATGCCACATGAGGACTCTGCCAACCCCGTTACGAACGACGGACCCGAATTCCATTCGAACGTGCCCGTTAGTGAGCTCACCGAGCGCGTCACTCGAGCCATCGAGGCAAGCGATGTTAGCTTAGCCCCTCTGGTTGTGGAAACCACAAACGGGGTAACGCATAGAACTAGACCAACCCCTACCAAACCCGACTGGGCTCAGGGGCTCGGGTCGCCCGACGCTGACTCGGAAAACCAACCAACCGCATACGAGTCACAGGCGAGAGACAAACCGCAGGCGAAACACGGACCGGCGAGCAAACACAGAGTCTGTGGCCCCAGGAAAGAGTACCAAGATACTCAGCCTCCAACCGACTCACCAGTCGGAGGCAGGCTCGGGGGCTACACCCACCAAGTGCACTTGCGCGCACCCGCTAGCAAGTCAAAAAATCTCCCATATGATTCTACCCAAATCGCCCGGGGGCTCGGAGGCTACACCCACCGGGTGCGCTCGTCTTGCGCACTCAATCAAAAAAAAAAAAATCCCCAAGCGATTCTACCTAAATCGCCGGGGCTCGGGGAGCTCTGTCGGGTTCATAAACCGGGGTCCCTAATGGGCCCGCTTCCCAAAAAGCTCGTCCGTGAGACGGCATTACAAACGACACGCAACTCTGGGCCAGCCCAGATACCTAACGACAGCCGAAAGAAGCGATCCGATCTCCGATCGAAGGCACAGCCAAGGAGGAGACGACGCTTGCTTTCGACTCGACCGCTTTTCCATTGGAAGGCTGGCCAAGGAGGGGGACGCCGCCGCGCCGACTCCGACCCGCTTTTTCGGCCGGAAGGCCTGGCCAAGGAGGGGACGGCGCTTCGCTTCTTACTCCGACCCGCTTCTCCGATCGGGGAATACACCAAACCTCTGCTTATGGCTCTTCTCGATCGAAGCGGTCGGAGCCGATCAAAACGACCGGCGGGGGCGCCTTGGCTCGGTGAGGACCCAAGAAATCAAGCGGAAGCAGAGATAAGGTAAGGTGCTCAAGTCAACCGCAATACCGAGGATCGTACTACGCACACCTCTGAGAAGATCTTTGTCAAGGCCATGCCGGAAGGGTACTTTGCGGCCTTCCAGATATGTCGAGAACACAAAGCAGTGTTGTGAAGACGCGACATTTGTCCTCTGAGTATGGTAAGCGCCGATATTTGTCATACGGAAGAACACGATAGAGCACATACATGCATCACGGGCGTCAACAAGATTGTGGGCGCCCAGTGATCTTATGTAAAGACAGGCGTGGGCAACAAGACTAGGGACACTCTCTCTCTCTCTCTCTTTCTCTAAACTTTTAAGACAATCCCTTCACCTATAAAAGAGGATGTGCTCTCTCCCAACAAAGGACGATGATTCCAACTCTCTTTCTCTACCTAGCTTTAGACATTCTAAGCACTCGAACAACTTCTGGCTCTAAAATTCTAAAGCTACACATAGCATACGTTCTAAAACTTAGCGCTGCGTAGGAGCTCCCGTCACTCTTGGCCTTTCGGTCCAGTCCGGCCAGGACCTCTAACACCCCTTCTCATTCCAACTTGTTTGTCATCCCACCAACAAACTTGAGCACACAGGCTCGGGAATAAAGTCACCGACCTACTCAAAGCTGGGCGTGGGGAAGGCACGTTGCTTCGAACTGTATAAACCATGTGTCATTGAGTGCTAGGCCACATTCGATCACAACGCTTGTCTGGCAAAAGCGACAAATATTTACTTGTTGGTCACTTTTTCGCCTGGTGATCGGTTTTGGTACTTTGTCAAAATATATAATCGACTTTACCATTGTGTTTTCTCTCGTCGAGATGGAAAAAAATGGAGCGTTCAATTTGAAGTCCGAATGGAGTTAGGCCCTCGGGAAGGTGTCACTACATCGGGGAGTTACGACGAAAGTTTCGACTTTTCGCAAAGGCTGGAACTTTCTACTACTTGTCGGAACTTTCGACTTTTTCAGTCTAAATCTAGGAGAGTTCAAACTCGATCCAAACCCGTGGGAAACTTCTGATTCTATATTTGAGAGATTTTCTACTAGGATAAGATCATCTCCTCTCTATACACTGGAGAATCATGGATGATTGGTGATCCAACATCCAATCGAACTTTTTTCATATATTACCTCTTTACCCTACTTTTCCGGTCTCTCGACATGATTCGGCCGCGTTGACGCATTGTAGGTGGTGTTGTTCATCCTAGGAAAATCTCGGCGTGCATCTCCATGACGGGTCTCCCTAGAATGTGTTCTCGAGTGATCTCAGGCTCTATTGGCTAAGGACAAACTTTAAATCAGCCTAACTGATCTCTTGATGGGTTTTGCTGATCTTGGAGTTATTTGCTGCGTGTGATAGGTCGTGTTAGTCCTTGATGGTTGTGATCTGAATCGCCATCAACACTATCCTTGTTTATGTTGCTTTTGTGATTTCTATAATCGAAGCCGCACGGCAGTGAAGTCAGAGCGGCCGAATGGAATCCAATCAGTATGGGAATTCAGATTCTTGATACCCCTGATATATCCAACTGTTTATTTAGACGGTGGAATTAAACAATGTATACTATCTGTTCAATTATGATCCAAATTCAATGGCATTGTCCTTGTGTTGGAGTCCGTGACTTGAGATGTCGGCGTGCACGTTGCTAGCTCGTGTAGGAGCAGGACTCTCTTGCCGTACGTGCTGGTAGCTGATCCGTCAAGGCCCTGAACCAGCAGCATGCGATACAGACGTGGTCTGTCCGGGTTGGACCTGCTATATTGGCTCGGTACCGATCGTCACCTATTATAGTTTTTTATCTTTATAAATCATTATCTTGGAATAATAAAAGTTGTAAATCCTCGGCGTTTGTAGCCTCACCCGATATAGTAAAGATTTATTGGCTGGTGCCCGTGGTTTTCCCTTCCTCCTTGAGAGGGTTTTCTATATTAAAATCTCGTGTCCTCTATGCTTAATCTACTATTCTTCCTCGTTTATATTGACTATCGTTGCTAACATAGGCAGCTGAACAAAGAGACAGATGCCCAGCACTGATCCGGACAGTATTGTAATTTTGTGTTCCCAGCGCTCCTCCTGACAAGGTCCCCCCTTCTTTTAATTCCTAGAGAAAGCAATGCCCATGGTCTCAAAGCAGACAAGCAGTCAAACAATATAGGCAGGCATGCCAAGATTAAATTAAAATTAAAAAGAAATGATGAACAATAATGATGATTGGTTGTATCAGTATTACTGAACTAAACCCACTTCCCTTCGTCATAGATTCTGTTCACTTCCTTTTCTTATGTTAGCCTCTTAATTTATTCATCTGGGTCAACTTTTTTTTTGTCACAAATACATTTCTCGTCTTCTACATTTTCTCTTCACAATGAAACTGAAAAAAGAAAGAATACTAGAAACTACTAAAGCAATTTATCAGATACTCCAACATAGGCAGGTCAGTGCCTAGTTCTTGTAGTACATATTGCCTACGGTCTACTCTGGTCCCTCCAGGCCTTCACCATCTTATTCTGATCATCTCATCGATCTCCAGCTTTGTGTCCCTACAAAGCCATGGTGCGCCCATTGTGGCGCACCATGCTTGTGCTGGTTGTCTGTCTCCCCTCCTCCGGTCCTTGCAAAGAAAAGCTCAGCAATTTAGGTGTTGTCCACCTCACATCTTTATTCATCTACTTCTTGCCCTCTCCTCTCGTCATGTCAAAATCCCCTCCCTTTTCGCCTCTCAATGCACTTCCATCTCACACAGCACCACCACTGTCGTTGCAATCGAAGCCATTTGACCTTTCTTTCACCAAGATGAGTGGCGCGCGCGGTAAAAAAATCAAAAGCAGACTAAGACTAGTCAGTTCACTCTGATCATTGGGCACGCACTTTGACCGGTCACTGCAGCAATCCATCATCGGCTGGTGAGTTTTCTCCTTTTGCTGGTCACTGGGGGAGAGGAGCTTGAAGAGCCAGAGGCCCCATGTGAGGCAGCAACAGTGGCTGCTGCCGCGGCATCGTCTTCGCTCTTGTAGCTGAGGCAGCCCGCGTCCAGCACCCCTACAGGGCTCTGCGGCACAGGCACAGGGGAGGAGGTCCTGCCGCTCGCAGATTTTGGTGGCACAGTGTCAATGGCCGAGGACGCCATGGACTGGATCGCTTCCTGGCACCGCAACACCCGCTCCTGCAGACACAGACAGCAGCCCAAGGCAGGCAGCAGCACATTAAATAACTCGCCGATCGAGCTCTCACACACAAACACGCGGGTATAAATGCGTTTCACGCATCTGTACCTGGGCCGCGTTTATGCAAAGTACGGCAACAAGATTTGAGCTATGAATGTGTGGATCTCCAACTGTGGCCTTGCATTTGTTTAGCCTAAACAAACTAGCTAGGGGACGAAAAATGAGTTCGCATGAGGGAGGCTTTGCTTCAATGTACCTTATCTACGTGGGTGCAGGCGTTCTCAATGCCTGAGACGTTCACTTCTCCGACGACCACGGAGGCTGCAACTGCGGCGGCGATCTCAGACGGCCTAAACCCTATGCAGCAGGTTCCTGTCGTGCAGCAATACATAACAATGGTATTAGTTCAAGAGCACGAAATGGCATATAATCCATATACCATTTCCACTGATATAATGACAATCATGCTCGTGGTATACCTCTGGCTGCACACAAGATAAGCTCTGCGGATTGAAAGAACCAGCTTCTTGGCGCCACGTTGCCACCATTGAGCTTGTTTAGGAAGTAATCCATGTAGGAGAAAGGTGTGACGGCCTGCATCCTCCAATTGAGGGTGCTTAGAACAAGGAGCTCCATTCTCTGGATCGTCTTCGCCTCAAACACATAGCGCGCGTCTCCGACCTGATTGCACATGCCAACCACGCTTAGAACAAGACCAGATGAATAACAAGGAGAAAAAAAAACAAACAATGTTCATCTTCATTGCAAGCAATGCCAAACACACAGTTTACCCACCTGAAGGTCCAGGGATTGCGGGACGGCGGTTTCCTCCATCTTGGCGGCTAGAGAAACACACGCCACCGAGAGAGAGTTGTGTCATCCAGTCCTTGCCTTCCTGGAAATGACATGGGCGATAAACGTTACTACTGAATTAAAAAAGTTACTTGATATTGACAGCATTGGCAAGGTAACTAAGAATGATCTTGTGATTCTTACCGGCAGCTCGTACCGTGAGAGAGAAACGATCAAGATAGTTCACTGCCAAGTAGGCAGTGAGAGGACGAAAGTTGTAGTATGTGCAAACCTGCAGAAAGATCACAAGTTAGTAATCACGTGGAAATTAAAAAGAAGTGAAGCTATTGTATGGTAAATGATTCACGTGAAATATATTATGAAATTTTGTGAAATTTTTTTTGAGTTTGGCCTAAAAATGCGGACATGTTTTTCCCGAAAATGTAAAAAGAACAATGTTGAATCAGACAGTGCATCTTTGGTATCTCGTGATTCAGGAAGCGGACGAAAGGCCAACTTTGGCTGAGATGGTCCCCGAGTTTCACCCGGGAAAATGGTCACGGCATATCGACAAGGCACGTTACAACGAGTGTTTTCCGCCTAAGTACTGAAATCATTGGCGTAAGTTGCTTGGCTACACGCCTAAACACGCACGCAATTCGACCATGAAAGAAATGATTGAAGCAGCCATCAGCATTGCAAAGATAGAAGAAACAATCTATGCTCTATGTAAGGAAGATCAAACATTGCGAGTGTTTGGATGCAGAAACAAGAAAATAAGCGTCTTTCTAGATGAACACAACTCAAGCAAATCATGGAAATGGAAATGGAATGCGCTCCTACAGGTCTCCTGAGCAGTAAGCAATGAGTCAAAATGTTTCCTTTTTTTCCATCCCCCTGTCCGGCCACACCACAGGCACTCAGATCAATCAAGAACCTACCTTCCAAATCCAGTCGATGGCCTCCCGGCGGACTGCAGAGATCGACGCCGCCGCCGCCGCCGCCGCGCAGCCTCTCGCCGTAGTCCGCCCTCGGCATGTGCTCCCGCTCCTTCTCCACCAGACCGGCCACGCATTCCTCCGACTGCGGCGGGAACAAATCCACGCCAAAATCGTCCCCGTAGTCCGGCGACCGGCCTCTCTTTCTCCCGACCGCCTCCAACTCCTCCTCCTCCTCCTCAAAGCACAGGATGCTGCTGTGCTCCTCGGCGCAGAGGAGCATGGACGCGGCCACGTCGTCGCAGCTCGGCGCCATGGCTCTGTACTACCGGTGTATCCCACTCCCACCGGGCACCGGCAAGCCAAAGCCAAAGCCTGCGCCTTTTTCCGGCTGCGTCTCCCTCTCCTGCCGTGCGCCGGGCGATGTAACCGGTTGGGTGGTGGCTGGTGCGCGTGTTTGGGTAGCGAGGAGAATGCGGCAGTGCCGAGTGGAGAAGGACAAGGGGAGGACGGACGGAGGAGGCAGAGTGCGGTGCAGTTGTGCCGTGCGGCTGCCTGGCTGTGCCTCGCCTCTCGTCTCCCCCTCGCGCTTTGTACCGGGGAGATGGGGAGTATTTCTGGGAAAGCGCACGCGGTGGTACGCCAAAATTGAGACAGCCGAGCGGGAATGGAGGAGGCGGACGCCGGACGGTCCCGACAGGTGCAGGAAAGGCGAGCATTGCCGTACGCGCGGCTGGATCCGGCAGTTGAGGAGGCGTCCCGCGAGCCCCTGGCCGTCTGATCGGGGATGTGATTGGACGCGCCTGTTGACGCGGCCAGAGGATTGACAGTCCTCACGGCCCTTTCGCAAGGGTTGCCTAAAACATGATTTACCTGCGTGAGTGTGAAACCGCGCCTTTTGGGTTGATTTAGAACGGTCAGCTGCGCTGCCCTGCCTACCATCTATATATGTTTATGAAAACACTTGCAAACATATTCGGCAAGTATTACAACACATATGTAAAGTTCAAAAGACAATGTTTTGTTCAAAATCTAGCGGGCAAAATTAAAATATCAGCAAAATTAGTATCGACCGGTCCATCAATCTGAACTCCTACCAGAGTTAGTGTTACTATGTAAGTAAATTTAGGCACGTTTTAATCCATTTGCCTAAATTTTGCTGGACTCAATGGGTAAACCGGGTCGCCAAGTCCAGCAAAACTACGTAAGTATCGACCGGTTCGGCAAAATTGTTATGTGACGCATGGGTCGACCCATTTTATCCATTGAGCCAATAAGTTCCAACTCTATCGGGCCTTTTCATACTTCGAGATCGATCCTGTGACCCATTGACCTTGCTTTATGGGTGGGGCAACCTATCCGATAGGACAACCTGGTCCATTCCCATCCCTACAACTGGGGTATGCACCTAGATGCCATGAATCATGTTGCAATCGCTGATAACGAACCATGAAAGGCACATTAACCTAATAACAGTCGTCATAGTGGCAAAACCAGCCCACCCCGCACCACATCATGTTATGGTGGGCCGAGGGGGGTGGACTAGAGCAGAGTTGTGACACGCCACGCCATGATATAGATCGACTTGGTGCACGCACGTGTGGCATGTAGTTTACCTTTTTCAACTTTCTCAACAAGTGGACACAATAGTCATCCCTTTAAATTCATTGAACCTCTAGTCAAAATTCTATATGGAACTAAACCTTTACTGCATCTAGCATTTAATATGGGCCTTAGGATTTATTTAATTTTGATTAAATAAAATTAGACTAAGCCCAATTAAAATCCAACAATGGCCACTGAATTCTAAGGCATAGAAGAAATGCTCTCAATTCTACTGTTGTTTACTGTTGTTTGATATACCATTTGTTGACGCAAAAGATCGGCCACACATCACAAGGAGCTAGAATGCTCGGGTTGCAAACGGACTAAAGAATCCAGCAGATAACCAATACACCTTCACGGTGAAGAGCGATAAGGTTTGTAAGCAAACCATCAACAGATAACTATCGTGCTTACATAGTTGCGTGACAAAGAATGGCTAGTTTTTGGGCAAACAAGCCAAGGAGGTGTCAAAGTTCACGCCCAGGAGAGATTCTGACAGGGCAAGGACGTAGGCGGGTTGGGGCGATCGGCCAACAAGCCTAGGATTCCATCTTTGATCATCAGATCAAGGGATGAACAACATCATGGAGGTTGGAAAAGTAGGGCAAAAGAGAAAAGTAGAGAGTAGATTGATTTTTGTACAATTGTGTATGATTAAACTTAATCGGTCATGATACTCCAATATATATAGAGGGGATATGGTCTTATCCCAGTAGAAAACCTTTCCAAAACATAATATGCAAGTTTCCCACAAGATTCGAGAAAGTTTGGATCGGATTTGCGTCAAACTAGACTCAGACAGACAATGGCCTTGGTCGGTTTACGCAGCCATGACGCTCACTCAGGGAAAACCGACCTAGGCTGGTCTACACCGGGCAGGTCCGACTTCACCCAAAATCAGCCTAAGACAATTTTCCCTCGAACTTTGCAAACTTGGCCCAAATCGTTTAAATTTGATTCTTTTTGTTTGCAATTCATTCCCAAGTCCGAATGCAACCTTCTTTGACCTTTTTTGCCATCAACATTGGTGTTTTGATAGACTGTTATGTTGAACATCTATCTAGAATAGAGGTTGCACTTATTCTAAAATGAATAATGGAATATGCCTTAAATTGACAGTTTTATGAAAAGTAAGATCCACCTAAGCCCTTTATGAGTAATAGGTTACCAAAAGCATAACCTTTGATGGAGCATATAATTCAAACTCATTGGCTTTTCATGAGTATTTTGAGATTACCCAATCTCACTCAGCTACTGAAAGTGCATTTGCCCCCCATGTGGGTTTTGGTGTATTGATGACATCCAAATTAGGGACTAATGTGATCTTAATGAGATGTCGCAGCTATTAGTCCCATGAAAGATTCAAAGAGTTGATAAAGATAAAATGGTATCCCTCAATTTGTTGAAGTTGAAAAGGCGGACGAACTCAAAGCGCTCTCTAAAGTTTTATTCTTTATTTTGAGTATAAGTTTCGCCGTACTATAAAGAGGGATGCAAGTTTAGGTGGTCTAAGGAATCACCTCACGAACACTTAGACATAGTTTGTGGACTTTTGGTAGTCGGAAGTCCCATGTGAGCCAGGAGTTCCGGCTGTCAGAAGTCCCGATGTTTGGTGCCGGAAGTCCCGGCGCTTGCTGACTTAGCCACAGCATGCCTGCGCACCTTCGCCAGTTAAAAGTCCCGACGGGAGTCGGGAGTTCCAGGTGCCGGAAGTTCCGTCTCCCGCCGGAAGTTCCGATGCTTTGGGACTTAGTCGCCTGGCTCGCCATGTCTGTCGGGAGTCCCGACGGAAGTCGGAAGTCCCGGCGACTGCCGGGAGTTCCGACAACATGCGAGCAAGCCCAATGGACTGTCTACGTGAACAGTGTTTTTGCATAGAGCCGGAAGTTCCAGAGATCTGTGTCGGAACTTCTGACATAGATCTGAACGGTTGGATTCTACTATGACTATAAATAGCTCTCTCCTCTCTTCTAACCATTACCCACTCATTTATTGCTCACCAACATTCGTCCTAAACAGCTCTCAAGCATTCAAGGCGCCCCTCTCCTCTCCCCTTTGCTCCAATCTTCGATTCCCCTAGGGTTTTGAATGAAAGGAGAGTGGATTGAGTGAGAAAATCACTTTGGCAAGCTTGAGCACTCGATTTCTTCGTCAAGCCAGTTGGATTTGCGTCTATTACTCTTGGGTTCTTGGAACCCTAGCCGGCTAGGCGACACTCAAGAGCTTCCATCTTGTGGAAGAGCCTTGGGAAGTTTGTATTACCCTCGATTTCTTAGTGGAAAGCTCGAGTAACCTTTGTGGTTGCTTTGAGAGAGACAAGGAGGTGGAAGAGACTCCGACCTTTGTGGTCACCTCAACAACGAGGACGCAGGAGCTCCTTTGTGGGGTTGCCGAACCTCGGGATAAATCATTGTGTCCCGCATGCTTGTTGCTATTGAGATTTGTGTTATCATATTTGTTTTTGTTGGTTTGTCTTCCTACCCAACTCTCTCCTTAGGGTTTGGACTCGATCTACGGAGTGGTGACCTTCTGGCGTCAAAGGAGCAGCCCCAACACTTCATCTTACCACTAGGAAGTGGGGTTGTAAGATATCTTGCACTCAAAGTTTATTTTAGCACCTGTAGTGAAATTCTCGTAGGTGCCGGAACTCCTGGCTGTTTGCGTCGGAACTTCCATCTGCCGGAAGTTTCGGCCCAAACTGTCGGGACTTCTGACTGTCACTGACATTTGACTTTGAGATTACGCAGAATTTTTTAGATATGCATATTCACCCCCCCCTCTAGGCATTGTTTAGATCCTTTCAGCTACCCTTGTAATATTTAACCAAAAGCATAGGCTTGTAATATGTTCTATAGAACAACGTCACTGGTTAAATAAGTCATTCAAATCACATTAAGATATACCCCAACGTATTATACAACATAGAAGACAAGTGCATCTTAGACGACATGGACCTGTGTTAATGGTCTCTTCTATATCTTAGTGTGAACTTTGCTAAGGAGCTAAGTAGTTGTGATGGCTCCAAGGACTTTCTTAGTTTGCTTTTATAGAAGAAATTAGGTGTCAGAGGCTTGGGGTTTGGGGTTAGCTTTTGCATAGGCTAAGGTTGTTGGTTTAAATTTTGTAGAGCTCAATTCATCACCTCTATTAGTTTATTCTATCTTTACAATGTTGCCCTTTTGAGATCCATAGAGGACTGCGGTATAGCTAGCGATGCCCTAGCGATGGACCAAGGAGGCCGTGAGGCGGCAGCGATTGTATCTAAGAGGCATATAACGTAAAGGGTGGCGTGTGGCGTCCTAGGTCAAAGGCTCGTAGTAGCTTCGAATAGGTGCCTGAGCGGTCGGGCGTTTTTATTTGCTTTTTCCTTAACAAAGGCATACATAAACCATCGTCTTTGGAAACTTGATTAACATAGGCTTTGAATTCAGATGCGGGTGAGTTGCTCGCCTCTGTTAAGCATGTTTAACGGTCTCTTAAAATTGTTATTATAGTAGTGCCAGTGACCTCACCACGGGCATCGTTGCTAACCAAGCGTGTCCGCGCGCGATGGCAGCCACCCCTGTGTGCCTCGTAGCTGAGCCATGGCCATCTTCCAATTGCAACGTGCATGGCCGCGTGTCCGCGATGTGGCGGCCGCCGGCCGGTGCATGGCCGCGTGTCCGCAATGGCGGCGACGCTCACAGTAAGGAGACGCTACGATGTGCTTGG